GACAAATGGAAAAGAAAAAAACACAAGTAGTAGTTATCCCTAAGAAAATGATAACCCAACTGAACCCAGAAACCGTTTTTGCATCCCGGGCTTGAGCAGGGATTCGTTTAGCTTTATAATTTTTTGAGTTTGCGCTTTTTAAATGATTTTGCGCGAACTAGGGATGAGGTGTTTTAGTAAATCAGGAGCGGAAATAGGATAAAATTCTAAACATTTAAGGTAAATGTTTTTTTTTTTATTTTCACAATGTGAGGATGATGATGATGAAGAACATACGTGATTTTTTTTTTCTTTTTTTTTTTTTTTTGATTTGTAAACGCTCGAACATTACGTTATTATTTTATTTTGTTAAAAGGTTAAAGGTCAAAACAGTTTTTTTTAGTAATTTGTTACTGTCGTACCTTTTCTTTATATTTGTTAATAAGATACTAAATCAAAATGTCATTTGGACGTTACTTAAAATGTCGTTACCGAATGTTTTTAAATTTTTTTCTTTTTCCCTCCCTTTTTCCTTCTCCCTCCCTCCTACCTCCTCCTTACCGCCCCCCAGTCGAACGATTTCATTTAACGCCGAAAACCCCCCAAAAAAAAAAGAAAAAGAAAAAACAACAAAACTTTTTTAAAATTTTTTTTTCTTTTTTTCATTCATTCATTCTTTCTTTCAATATAATTATTATTATAATTATTATTATTATTAGCATTTTCCCAGAGAATTTTCCGACGATTCTGAAATTTTATATATATTACGAATTCGAAATTCGTATTATTGATTGATTAAAAAACAATTAACCAATTTTCCTTTTTTTCTTTTTTTTTCCATTAAAAAAAAAAAATTTTCATTGAACGATTTTTAATTATTATTATTATTATTATCATTATTATTATTATTTGCTTTAGAAAAAAAAAAAAAATTTCGTTGTTAAAAATGATGATGATGATGATTTATAAAGTTTTTACGCGTATAAATTTTTTTATTTTTTTATTTTTTATTTTATGGGGAGAACGATTTATTATTAGGGGGAATTAATTTTATTTGCGTGGGAGTCAATCAAAAAAAAAAAAAAAAAAAAAGGGAATCCATGTTGGAATCATTTTTTTTTACCTTTGAAATTATTAATTTATTATAAAAATATCGATTCGATTTTTTAATTTTATTACGTAATTAATTTTTAAATAATCTTTGAATCCATACGAAAAAAAGAGGGGAAAGAGGGGTAGAGGAGAAAAAAGGGGGGGGAGAAATTTTATTTTTTTATTTTTTTGCAAGTGTCGCATGTGTGTGTGTGTGTTGTTTTTACCACGTAATAATTTTTTTTTCTTTTTTTTTTTAAAACGTCGTGAAAATTTCTACGTCGTGTTCGTTATGCGTACTAGTAATAGTAGTAGTGATAATAATAATAATGATGATAATAATAATAACAAATATACGTAGTAATCGATTTGTGTGACTTAATCGTGAAATAAAAAAATAAAATTTTTTTAAAGGTGTAAAAAACCGAATAGAAATTATTATTATAATTTTTCCCCTCCCCCCACACGTGAAAATGTATCATTTTGATATGATGATCATGATAATGATGATGATAAAGAAATGGACGAAAAAGAATTAATTATAATATAAAAATTAATTAAATTTTGTTTTTTTTTGTTTGAGTTTTCCTTTTTTTTTTTTTTTAGAAAAAATTAATATAGATTTTTTTCCCTTTTTTCCATTTTTTTTGTTGCATAATTATTATTAATGTTTTTTATTATACAAAATTAAACCTTTTTCAACTTTTCAATATTCAAATTAAAAATGGCGCGGGTTTGAAAAATGAAAAAACGAATGAAAAAAAAAAAATTTTTTTTTGTTTTTGAATGAAAAAAAAAAAAAATTAAATAAATTATTGTTTGGGTTTTTTTTTTTTTTTACAAAATCGATCACATATCGATTTTTCCAATAAGTCGTGATCGATTATTATTATTATTATTATTATTACTATTATTATTATTAATACGAGAAAGGTAAAAAGTTTGAATAAAGTTTTAAAAAACGTATTAAAAGTTTACGTTATAAAAATCGATATGTATTTTTTTTTGCTCTTCCTCATTTCTTTTTTTTTTTTTTATTTTATATTTATAAAAAAGAAAAGAGGTCAAAAGCCTTGTAAAAAAAAAAAATAGAGGAGGAGGGGGGGCAAAAAACAAAAAAAAAATTTTTTCTAGACGAATAATAAAAAAAGTCAACAACACACCTAAAATGTATAGAAAACAAAAAAAAATTCATATAGATGTAATCTTTTTTATAGAAAATAAATTAGTTTTAAATACATATGTATATAAATAATTTTTTTATTTTGTTTAAAATTTATTTTAAATAATAATAATAATAATAATAATAATAATAATAATAATAATAATAATAATAATAATAATAATAATAATAATAATAATAATAATAATAATAATAATAATAATAATAATAATAATAATAATAATAATAATAAATTGACATTTTTAATAAGAAAAAGAAAAATGAAAATTTTTTTTAAACGAATGCATCTAATGCAATTACATCGTTTTTTTCATCTGAAAAAACTTTTTCGTTTTTTTTTTACTGTTTTTAAAATACAACCGAGTGAAAAAATACTAATTTAAACAAACAAACAAACAAACAAAGTTTTAATAAGTTTTTATGCATGTTAAAATAAATAATAAAATTTTTTTTTTTTATATAAAAAACTTTTGTTTTCTTTCTCTCTCTCTTTACCTTTTATTCTTCACATTTACATACGAAAAATTTTATACTTTATTATCATTATCATTATTATTATTATTGTTATTATTATTATCATTATTGAAGAGTTAATAAAGTATACGTAGGTACGTATAACGATTTTTTTTAATAATATTATTGATTGGTATTAAATTTAAAAAAAAATAAAAATAAAATTACGTGAATTGAGGTTATGATATTTGAAATTTTAAAAGATTAAAAACCCATAAGTGT